GTATATCACGTATTATATCTACCATGTCGAATATTAAAGCTAATTTTATGTCAACAGCTTTTAGACCTAATTTCGTAGCAAGAATGTCCTACAAAATGTGGTCCGAATACGACGCCATGCTGTCCGAGCTTTTGTCACAGCTGGCCACCCCTTCGAAAGAAGAGCTGTCGAGCACGTTTAAACGTCTGCAAGGAAACCCTTTGCGAAGGGAGAAGCGTGTAAACGTCCCTTGGACGCTGATTACCGCTCGAAGCAGAAGAAAGAAGGAGGTAACTGGGTTAAGGTCAGCGAGTATCCGTGACCTCGACAATTACCATTCGACGCCGTTTAGCCCTCGTCTTCTGGAAGACACTTTGCATGCGGCGAAAACGTTGCCACATTGTTCGAAAAGGGCCGACCTAGAAACGTTTTCGTGGTTAATTGCTTTCGAACGACTTCAGAAGTTTTCATTTTCGCCCGTAGGTATTCAGGAACCTCTCTATAGGATCCTCGCGCTGCGAGATCCTGCGGAATGAAAATCATGCTGTACGGACGGAGGCAGCTGAACGAGGGTACGAGGATGATTATGAAATTGTTGGGATCGGTTATTGCAGATTTATCGATCAAGATATTATAATTGACTATGCATGCCAATTACGCATGTCGATTATGCAATATACGTGTACGCTCAATTATACAATCGTATAATCGTAAGTAAATGAAAATGAAATTAACAGTCACCACTTATTACGCGAACATGTAATTTCGTCTCTTGCATAATTTTCTACCCTCATCTTTCATCGACTTTTACCCCAACCCCTCGATTAACATATTCTACGGTACAATTAAACATTTCACACGGCACGTAACACGTTAATGGACGGTCATTTGTATTCAGCTACTTAGCTCGTTTCATAGACACAGAACATTAAAATCTAAGACAGCCACAAGGCAACATTGTAACGCGTTCTGCCGCCTGAATCGAGCATTCTGCCCCTTTCAACGGAAGGAGAAGGATCAAAGAGCGACAGCGATCCTTTCGAAGGTCGACCTCGATACCTAAGGGTTCAGAGGTACACTGGGATGTCCCCAGGAGGACACGGTTCCCTTTTTCACGTCGACAAACGCGAGATCGTGACTCAGCAGCGAAATGGAATCTCTCGGGACCCGGACGGATCCGCTGCCAACGCTTCAACGCGGAACTCGTGCGAAAATAGACGGGGATCTCTTATAAGACCCGAGGACGCGCGCGAACCGCGTCGAATCTCGTCCACCGATCCCGTAAATATTTAGAATATTCTGCAGATCGATCGGTCCCCGAAGATTTGACGATTTTAAAATGTTTTCAATGCTATTTACTTTGAATCAAACAGTATTTTCGGTTATTCAGAGTTAGGCTAGGCTCGTCACCAATTTGTAACTAATTTGAACTTAAACCTTATACAAATGGAGAAACTTATAGTTCTTAGGATTCATGACATTTATAGAGCAAAGAATGTTCGAACCTTGATAGAAAAGGCGGTAAAACTTATGCTTCTCAGGATTAGAATGAAAATGTCACGTTTACAGAGCAAAGAATGTTCCTCGATAGAAAAGGCGGTAAAACTTATGCTTCTCAGGATTAGAATGAAAATGTCACGTTTACAGAGCAAAGAATGCGCCTCGCAAAGGCGGTAAAATGAATATTTTCGAAAGGGTGATTGCGCCACGAAGTGTCCATAAGTAAAGTACGGCACGGTAATAAAGCGATGAAAATGATAAATCGTGACGGTCCCACCCCCGGGCCAGGCGGCGTATTGCGTTATTAAAACTTTACTAATGGCCGATAATAAGCAGCCGCTCAGACGGGATTGATATTAAATCGTAAACTACCGCGTTCTCATTTATCATTATCACGACGGAACTCGGTGTTTCAAGGCGTGCGACTCCTCGACTCCGCGAACTTTGTCAGAGAATTCCGACCAAACGAGTTTTCACCGGAAATCGTTCAGGCGAAAAGGATTCTTTCGCTGCATATGGCTGCTAAAAACGGATGTGATTATCAAGAAACGTAGTCTACGTTCACCGTATCGGTTACGTTTCGAACATCACAAGGTTCAATAAGTCGGAGTTTTAATAGTCATTTTGCAATGGCGGACTTCGAAGATTTAGGGGTTGAAAGACACTATTGATATAATTGATATATGTTGATAATGGCAATATATCGAAAGTTTGATGTGTTTCAAAGTCTAACTTCTACTGTTCTATATCTAGGGCTTGAAACATAGATTGGAAATCCTTCTGAATGTAGACATGGATTTAATTGACATTTGTGAAGACTATTGTTTATAGGCATATGTATGTGTAATATATTATAACATGTTTATAATAAGTAATAGATATAATAATACATTGGATGTAAACGAATATTTCTTGACAGAGATCCTCACATAATTTCATCTCCAGCATTGTATTCCTTGCACTTAAACTTAATGCTGTACTCAGTATAAACTTGATACTGATAATTAATATTGCTCATAAGCTATCTAAAAATGAAATGAACTCATAATTTCGAGCAGCAACATCCTCCGCAAGGATCCTCGAAAGAGGATAAACTCGCAGCCATGCTTCGCCCCAAATCTCGCTGCGATCCAGCACAACAATCGCAAAAGTTTCACCCTCGATTGGCAGCGTCTCGGGTCCACTCGATGTCCCCAGAAGCTAGATGGAACACGTGGCGGGTCCCTCGCAAGCTCTCATGGGCGATCCCGCGATAATCGTGATCGGGTAGATCGGTTCGGTAGCGACAAGAGGGAGCGAAAAAAGGAAGAAAAAGAAAGGAAGGGGGAAGAAACGAGAGGGAATCGTCGCTGACGAACTACGGGTCTCCCGGCTGCAGGGGTGGCTGTGGGTGTAAAAGGAGGGTGTCATGCTGGCTCACCGGGAAAAGTGATTGATCGTGTTTCGGCCGGAAGAGAAGAGCAGCGGCGGGCAGAAACAGGAGAGGAAAGCTCGGGCGAACGACGGAGAAAGAAACGGTGACGGAAGACGTTGCCACACGAAGAGAAAGAAAAAGAGAGAGAGAGGGAAGTTCACGCTGATAGAGACGGAGAGGTCGAGTCGCAAAACGAGGAGACAACGTCCGCTACCCTCTCGCCCGCGTCATCCGCAAGCCCCTTCAACCCCCGAGCAGATTCCACTCGACGCGAACGTTCCCTCCGCCTCGAGCAGGAACGGCATCAAGTGGCCTCGAGAAAAATAGAAATAAGTCGTATCTTGCTTAACGAAAAACCCGCTAGAAAAAGCTCGAGTGACGCTCCCTGAATTGCCGCTTCTTCCAGTCCGGTTGCTGTTCTTCTGCATCGGCCGTCGGACGTATTGTCACCTACCGGATGTCATCTTTGCACCCACTCGACGATATTGCCTGGATTCGAATATTAATGAAACGGCTCCCTTTCTCGGACTTCCAAGATGATGTTGCGAAATAGTTAACGGCGCGCGATTATTCGGTTCACCGTGGCGAGGACGCTTTGTTCTCGGTTTAGAGGTTTCGCGAAGCAGGATACAGTTCGTAGACACCGCTAAGAAAAGTAAAATGTGAACTGACTGGGCACGCCGTTTGTCGACTCCGCCACCATTGTCGTGTCTGAGCAAAACAGAGTGAGTGTGCTCTTTGTATAATGACTCGGCGATTTATATGCCTCGCTCCGCGCAGCTGATCGCGAGTAGACGTACTTGACCGAGTGCAGCGAGACACTTGTAGAGCACTAATATAAAGACGCGGTGGAAGAACCAGTGAGCCATTACTTTCAATTTGAACCGCATCGAACACTCTTATGTAACTAAGTGATAGGCATACTTGGCCAGTGCGAACGTTTCAGAGAAGGATGGACTCATTTCAATGGAAAGTTGATGCTACGCTTAGCCGTTAGGTTTCTATGTCGGGGATTTGCGGGTATGAGGATAGACCTACTTTCGGAAATGTTCAGTTTTTGCGACCTGCTTGCCTAATTGGTTTTTCGAGGTCAGAAAGGTGAGAAGCTTGAGTCATGAAGATGTACAGTTCAATTTCACTCGCAATGTAAAAATTTAATTATGAAGTTACAAACTTAGGAAGCTTGGAAAAGTTTGTGGATCAAGATTCTATAACTTTAATGTCTCAAAATGTTACACTTTGAATGTTTTGAGGGTTTAAAGTCTCTAAGTCCTGAAGTACAGACCTAAAACTCCAAAACTTCAAGTTCTCAAAGCCTCAAGGTCTTGAAGTTTGGAAACTTCAAGGGTAAGAAGTCGCAAGTATTTACCGTTTCCGAAGTTTCAAAATTCCAGACTCTCATGACCTCACAAACCCCAGCATCCAGCGTCTCAACATCCTGTAACTTCAAGGTCTCCAAAATATCAAGTTCCAATAGCAAGTTCCAAAATATCAAGCTTTCATGCTTATTCTAAATTAAAAGATATTTGAAGCAATTTATTAATGAGTCGAGAGTCACATTTTGGACATTGCTGCTGTTTGTCATTCCCCAATCTCGTTTATCGAAAATGGTCCCGGCTGCGCAAATATCGTTCGCAAGAATGCTCGAAATGTTCCGTGACTAAATATATTCCAATGCGGGTACCACAGACGCCGAGTCATTCGACATCCCTCCAATTAGCATCGCGATATCAATTACCCCGTGGAGGTCGTTCGATCCTGGAACGTTCGCGTCGTTTCGTTGAGCATTGACCACGCTGCCGTAAGATGGATTTCAGGAGGATGGAGGCGGGTTAAGGAGATCCGTAGGAGTGACTATACGGTTCTAGGTACCCTCGAGTATGGCCCCATAAGGGCACAGGATCCACGGTTTCCGTGGCAGGGGTTGGTCTGGTGGTAGCACGGAGTGGGGTTGACTGGCGGGAGAGCAACAGAAACGGCAGAGTAGAGGGGGTTCCCCGGCTCTCCAGAACGGCTCGAAGCCAGCCGGCCTCGTCGAACCTGGAGGGAGTTGGGAACAGGACGGAGTTGCCAGACGAGTTTCTGCCGAGGCAGGACGAGCTCACTTTCATGGCTCTCTGACAGTTTGGCCGGTCGACGCGATTCCGTTCGTCGGGACAAGTCGCATCGACGAACCAGTGTGCAGTGTGGTTAGCCAACGGATCGAATAGAGCGTTCGGTGATCGAACACCCGGTTTATCGAGAAGATTCGATGGAACTCCGTTTGGAACGGGTTCGGTGATCGCGAGAATCGTCGTCAGGGTCGAAGTGTAGAGTGTCCGATTGGAGAATAATCGAGGGACTGGAATTCGAAAAGTAGCGGGTACATAGATCGGTGAGCGTAGCTCCGGGAGCCACGAAGAAAGAAGTTGGTGCACCTGCCGCAGTGGTTCTCGTGGCGCCACTCACGTGTTGCATGCGTGCCGTGCTATCCATCATGGTCGCGGACTCGGAGCGGCTCTGATTGGTCGGTGGCGCGGTCACGTGGTATGGTAATTGGGCTCCGGTGGGCGGGAAGGAGTGAACGAGGTCGCGAAGCTTCGTGGAAGATCGCAAAAGTGGCGGAAGGAGAGGAGAGGATAAGCAGCTGTCCACCGGGAGTCTGCTACTCTCCGTGGTCTTGCTCTTTTCGCTCGTTTTCTCTCCCCCTGTCTTTCTCCCTTTTCCGTCTTCTGCGTACCCTTTCCTCTCCGGCCGAAAAAGTCACCCTAACAGGGCGAACGGAGAACGATGGCCGTGGGCCACAGTGCAGTGCAGTGTGTACGGCTCCGACAATGAATATCAACATGGAACTATGCGACTCTATGAACTAATTCAGCGACGAGTAGACGAATATATCCGTACAGTGGTCGATTTCGGAAAGTTACCGCGATTGGAACTGTAATCGGGCACCGGGTGTTAAAAAGCAAAGGATCGTCGCGAAGATGAGTTCGTTCCTGATGAATCCATCCGCCGGCGGTGGATATCATCATCACCAGCACCAGCAGGCGGCAGGCAGTCATCATTTGGCGGCGACCTCCGTCATGGTGGATCCGAAGTTTCCTCCTACCGAAGAGTACAGTCAAAGTAATTACATACCGTCCACCGGAACGGACTTCTTTCCCGGCAGCGGGGGCGGTCATCATCTGAATCATCCTCAGTCCCATCAGTTGCAGTACGGTTACCATCAACATCATCATCAGGCCGCGTCCACGCCGTACGGTGCGTCGTCCGCGGTTCAATTGAACGGCGGCTACGCCGGCTACGGTGGCTACTACGGACCACATCATCCTCATCACCAAGTACACGCCGTGCACCACGCCAGTTTGCATCCTCATCACCATGCGGTGGGCGCTCTGGCGATGCCCCCGGAGGCGCAGCAACCGCCTCTCACGTGTCCATCCTCGATGCAGAATCAGCAACAACCGCAACAACAGCAGCAACCACCTGTGACCGCGTCCACTGTCCTCGGATCCACTCCGCTGTCACCTGGCATTATGCAGAATCACGTGCAGCCGCCGGACAATCTTCAGCATCATCAGCAGCCGAGTCAGCAGCCGCCGCACGATGGCAACGCGTGCAGCCCGACGAACACCGGCCAAATGCATCGCGACAACTCGCCGGACCTTCAACAGCAACCCACGACCACTCAACAGACGCAGCATATACAGAGCACGCAACAGCAACAACAGCAGCAAAGTCAGCAGCAGTCGCAACAACATCACGTGGACGACGGCTCCGACCAGGATGACATGGAGGACGATCAGATGATGGACGGATCGCCTGGAATGATGGAGGACGAAGAGGAGGACGAGGAAAATGGAGACCGTGTGATTTATCCGTGGATGAAGAAGATTCACGTTGCTGGTGTCGGTGAGTTGAAACTTTCCTAACGTCTTCACTTCCAGTGTCTTATAACACGATTCATAAACATGATAATCTTCGAGGAGTTGTACTATTATTAGAGTATGAAAATGCATTTAGGGTAGCAAGGATGGGAGGAGCGTTTAGGATAGCAAGGATAGTTTGGTTCCAAAGATGTATCTCGATTAAGATGTTCTAGATGTATCTTGAAGTATGGTCATATTTTTGTGAAGAGTAGACTGCGGATGTTTATGAATTTGTAATATAACAGAGTTTAAGTAAGCAGTTTTATAGACCTTGATAAGTACAAGGACCTTGATAAACATCTATAGTTTAATCAACAGTACTAAAGTTATGTAAGGCTACTGCGTTAGATTTTGATGGGATTTCCTGTCCGACGGAGGGTCATTGGGAATTCTTAGGTTCCAATCTAATTTAGTAAAACTTCATATGAGCAATATAGTATTAGTTTCTGTATAAAAATAATTTGAGGAACCCCAGTTGCAAACTCTTTGCAATTATTAAGTTACCAAAATGAAAGTGCAACACCTTGCAAGGTGCGTAAGCAAACCTGCAATGTCTTCTGCAAGCTAATATGTTGAAATATGTCTCCCTAAGGAAAAGGTTCTACTCGATCCTCTTCAACCAAAATTTGAAACACAAGTTCACACCCTAGCACATCACCAAAATGGTGCACCACGCTGTAGTGTACCAAAAGGTATTCTTCAAGTTGGTATAATTTATATCCAAATACCCGAATCATTACTTAGAGGATCATCAGATACCCCGAATTTCTGAAGGAACATAATAATTCAAAGAATGCATGACAAATAATAAGCACGGTTCTAAAGTCCCCGTGGCAAATAGAGGAACAAAATAGTGGAGCAAGGCACGACGAGGTGTGCAATAGTCAGAGAGCATTGTTGCAAGGTGTGTGGAACGAATATATTGTGGTCGCAAGACGACACGTTGCCGTGCAACGGGAAGACTGATGAGCTGCAATTTATCGTTGCACCTTCCAATCACCTGTGTGAGATTTTAGAAGCTCTGCCCTTAACCGCATCAATTCTGTCACGCCTAGTGTCACCTATTATTCATCTTGTAACAAACTGATGTGGAAGCAGGGAACTTCAAAGACAACACCGAACAGGGACAAATTGTCGGGAATTTATCTTTTTATTAAGGGTGCGAATGATCTTCTAAATAAACTCATTGTCGGTCATTCCTGTACCACAGGTTCCTGTGTGTGGCTCTCGCGCTTGGAGTTTAAGCGTTCATGGGAACCTAACCTCATTCGCGCAATTGTTTGAGGACGTGGCAGGCTACATAATTGGATTTTTTCAATATTTATCAGCTTATATCCATTATTGTATTTGGCAGTTTATTATATTTTTAAGTGAATAATTTTAATAATATACGATAACAGATTCTTATTATTCAAATTATTGTGGTGTAGAATACAGATTATTATGGTAGTCATTTTAATGAATATTGCAATAATTATTCATCGTTAAATACGATGAAACCGATATCTCTTCCTAATTTCATCTCGTGAATAAGAAAAAAATTGTATAATAATCGCTAAATGCTATGTCGGATTGTTTTCAATTAACGATAATAGAAGCTAACGCGCTCATTAAAAAACTGATCAAAAAAAGATTTCAAACGGATTCACAGGAGCTGAAAGAGTTAAATGATTCCGCTGAAGAACATAAAAGCTTCTTAACCCTATGGTTACCAAAATTAGTTGCACGCCCATGAGACAGCCGCGGCAATAAAAGTGTTTCAAAGAAGCTAAAGTTTCAGTAAGACTAATATTATGCTAGTTATAGGGTAATTTCTGAAATGAATACCTTTCTTCTCCAAAAAGAAAACAAGCTTAACGACGCGCTGCTTGTAATGAAGACACTAGTGAACCTGTTTGTAGAATTTTTCTGAGATAGCTTTTTATTTGGACAAGGTTTAGGACTAGAAATTCAACTTTTTATTAGAAGACTTTTAACAACGTGGTTTACGTAGTTTTTACTAGAATTCTTTTACTAACAATTAGCATGATTTTCACAAATTACAAATTATTACAAACAAAATTACAAACATTAAAATTTATTGATTTTAAGACTTGATACTTCGGGATGATTAAAATGTCTTTTTGCAGAGTTTTATTTGTGTAGAAGAAAAATTTAATTCATTAAATAACGTAGTGAAAATTAATGTAAGTGGCGTGGTACATAATATTATAATTTTATTATTTTGTTTAAGTCGACAGTGTCTGATTTTGTGTACTGATCCTTTAGAATCTTGTTACTGTATTTTATATTGCCGCGAGTTATATGAGCAAGCGTTCAGATGTGCCATACAGCCACACCCCATACAGCCACTCACAGTATAGTATTTTAAAGCGTTACACATTGTACGTGTGTGATCAATTGTTGTATTTTCTATACATTGTTTATTTTTATTCATTACACTTTGGTGCAATGTGCTTGTTATGCGTTGTGCCGTCATGCATTGTATCATAACGCTTTGGTTTCCATACGCATTGTGTTTCAACGCTTTGTATTCCGTACACATTGTATTGTATACGCGCTGTACTTTCCACGCGTTGTATTTTCTACGCTTTGAATTTCTTACGCGTTGTGTTCAAGCTTTGAAATTTTAACGCGTTGTATTCTCCACGCTTTGAAATTTGAACGCGTTATATTCTCCAAGCGCTGTAATTTTAACGCGTGGAGTTCTCCAAGCTTTGAAATTTTAACGCGTTGAGTTCTCCTAGCTTTGAAATTTTAACGCGTTGAGTTCTCCAAGCTTTGAAATTTTAACGCGTTGAGTTCTCCTAGCTTTGAAATTTTAACGCGTTATATTCTCCAAGCGTTGCAATCTTAACGCGTTGAGTTCTCCAAGCTTTGAAATTTTAACGCGTTATATTCTCCAAGCGTTGCAATCTTAACGCGTTGAGTTCTCCTAGCTTTGAAATTTTAACGCGTTATATTCTCCAAGCGTTGCAATCTTAACGCGTTTGCGTTGTATTCTCCAAGCTTCGAAATTTTAACGCGTTGAGTTCTCCAAGCTTTGAAATTTTAGCGCGTTGAGTTCTTCAAGCTTTGAAATTTTAACGCGTTATATTTTCCAAGCGCTGTAATTTTAACGCGTTGAGTTCTCCAAGCTTTGAAATTTTAACGCGTTATACTCTCCAAGCGTTGTAATTTTAAAGCGTTGTATTCTCCAAGCGTTGTAATTTTAACGCGTGGAGTTCTCCAAGCTTTGAAATTTTAGCGCATTATATTCTCCAAGCGTAGTAATTTTAATGCACTGTATTCTCTAAGCTTTGAAATTTTAACGCGTTATATCCTCTACGCGCTATATTCTCCACGCCTTATATTTTTTACACGTTGCATTATCTACGTTTTCCTAACATTTTCTTATTCTTCATACATTTTCAAATTATCCTACACGTACCCTTATACCCTACAGAAAAATAAAAGTGACTAGTCGAAAATTGTTTGTACCATTCAATACGTAAAAGCTTGTTTTTTGCAAACGAAGAAGACACGTTCCTGCCAATCGAATTTTTTGTTACCTGGAAATATGAATTATGATATTCGGCTTTGCGACGATAGTATCCCGGTAGACCGGTCTGAAAAGAGAAATAGTTGCAAGCTGGAATGAGCAGCAGTTTCCCCGGTCAAAACCGAATAGAAATTTGAAGCTGCAAAGGCAGCCCAATTCTGAAGGATATTACGTTGCAAAAATTTCCTTTGAAGATTCATAATCCTTCTGCGAAACGCCTGCCGACGCCGCGGCGTGAAGGGAACGTCATGGAGCTTAACCCACGCCATTCTTATTGCCACGTTTTCAACGAACATTATCCCTGGCTCGTGTGCACACTTAATTACAGTCGTCGATCGACGCGTGAAATTATTGGTTATCTATATCGCCTGGTTATCGATCTCTTGCCAATATTACCTGCATATCAATACCTACATAACTTAACCCAGCAATTATTGCTTTGTGGACTCTTGAAAATCTTGCTTTATATATTTTGAGATTCTTGCTGATTTATTTGGAGAAGCTTGAAATATTTTAAAAATGTTCAACATGTTTTGCAAATCTTAATTTTAAAATTTAATTGCTGAAGGCTCGGACATGTTGTCTACTTGTGCTAACAATAATTGTGAGAGTTATAATAAGTAGCTATAATTTTGTAGAAAATTACTGTTTGTGTTGCTCAAACTATTTTAGAATACACCTCTATATTGTATTCAATTATTCTTAATAATTGTTGTTTTAGTTCACAATTTTTTTTTAGCTCAAACTTCAGCCTTTGAACTTTGATAAATGTACAAAATTAATGCTAACACTTCAGCTTTTTGTCTATTCTAAATTAAAATTTTCATAAATATCATTGATGTAATATCTGGTACCTTTAAGTGAACACCTCTGTAGCTATTTCTCTAACTTAAATTTTTGTAATAATCATGGATATTATACCTTGCTCCTAGTTCGACATCACCGTTGAACATTCAGTACCAATAAATTAATACATCTTCAGCTATTTCTCAAACTTGAATTAAAATTTTCATAAAAGTCGTTGATCTTATAACTGTGTCTCAGTTAGGAGATGCAGTTGAACATTTCGTACCTCTATCTGAACATCTCTTCATCTACTACTCTTTTTCCAAATTAATTTTTTCGAATGAATTTCAAAAATGATCAATCCAGTATCTGCTTCTAATTGAAGTACAGAGTTGAATATTCAATATCTCTAACTGAACATGTCTTCAGCAGCTTCTCTACCTCAAAGTGAATTTTCTCCAATGAATTTAAAAAGACATTAATCCTATACCTTATATGTATATAAAAAACAGTGTTGAACATTTAACATCTCTAACTAAATACCTCTTCAGCTACTTCTCTGCCTCAAACTAAACTTTACCAAATTTAAAAAGTCATTGATCCTGGTATATAGTGAAAAAACAGCGTAGATTCGATACCACAAAATTGCGGTATGCATATCTGTCAAGTACTGCAATCTCTCCCCGCGTGGATGTCGACTCGGTCACCGGACGTTGCTGCTAGGAGGGGCTTCCCGAGACCGTCGGTCAGCTCTGGAATGGAATGTGTCCGCACAGATTCTAAACTGAGCTCGCTCCCAACATTTCCTCTATCCAGTCACTTGGACCACCAAGGAACGCTTCTAGAGTGCCACGCGAGGATTGACGTCGTTCGATACGATACCACGATCGATCCACCAATCTCTCCTCCGTGTGTCACCTTCGTCGTTTCACGAACTGGTAGTAGTAAGAAGCTGGATTCGATGCCCGCACCCAGATAACCATCTCCACAGACTTTTGAATAGTGAAACCACGAGTGGGAGCCGGAATGAATGGAGAGATGCGAATTCCGAATTAAACTGGGAGAGAAATTCGTGGAAGTTGGGGGAAAATCTTTTTTGTGAAATCGAAATTTTTCTTGTAATTCTGAGGATGGGAGTTTGGGGCTTTGGAGTTTAGGAATAGAGAGAGTTGGAGCTTTTGCGAGTGAGATCTTCAAGTTTTAGTACTTTTGGGAGGTTGGAATGTTGGAACTTTAGGATTCTTGGACCTTTGTGTTGGAAATTTTGAACTGATCGGTTTTGATATTTTAGAATTTTTAGTTTGTGGTACTATAATGCTTCTGGACCTCGATATTTTAGACTTTTAGCTTGTAGACTTCTGAACACTGAAATCTTAGAACTTTGACACTCTGAACCTTGATGCATTAGAACCTTGCAGCATTGAGAACTTTAAAACCTCATAGCCTTTGAAGTCCTCTGAAATTTTGAACCTTGAGACTCTACAGTCTTAAAATTTTGGAAATCATCCACTTTGTAATTCGGGTCTCACAATAAAAATTAGACTACCCCATAAAGAAAATATCAAAGTCAAGTTATGAAAACGTGATGACCCCAAAAATATGAAAACTTATTTTAAAAATGAACTAGCGATCCATATTATCCCACAAAATTCTACAAAAGCCTTGTTTAAACCATAGTATACTTCTATGAGATGAACATTTATTCAAGTTGTCCAAAGAGATTTTCTCAATCGCCCAGTGAAAGATGCTAGCCGGTAATCCCGGTTCAAGTTCGACAACCGTCGGCTGCTCGAACAACAGATCAACCTTGGAACATTGGCCTGACGATTGTGAAATGTAGAGCCGGTTGTTTATTGCGTTTCTTGAGAGTACGATGTTGGTTGTACGCGTCATACCACTTTATCTGTTACGATCACCCGTTCTGCAGTTGGAAATATACCAACATGCTTCTCGGTGATGGAGACACGTTGAACCGTCCGCGATTACTTCAGAAGCATTGACAATGGTGGCTTAAAATAATGACACTTGTCACGATAAAAGGCGTATTTCGTGGAGCATGCTCGTTCTGAGCTACGAACTCGATACGGAGATAATGCGATTATTAATTGCCCGATATTTATACCTTCGATTGGGTACGCTGATTTAGAAACCCTGGGGCGACTCGTATTCCACTGATCAAACTTTCTTGCTTATTTCTAATATTCAGTTTTAATTTATTATTTTGGGATGACACGCTGGAATAGTCACTAATAAATTGTGCGAAATTTTGTGTGAAGTTTTAATTCTGCATTTGTGAGATTTATTATTGTGCAGCTTGGATATGTGACATAAAATGGTATAGAAATTTCAATTTTTTTTAGTGTGGAATTTGGAAAAGTTTAAATATGAGAATGTAGATAGTTAGACATTTTAAGCATAAGAATGTAGAGATTTAGAAATATCAAATTTTCAAATACAGAATTTGTGAGATCTCAAATTATTAGTACAGGAATATAAGAATATGAAAATTACAAAATTTCAAATGGAAGATTATACAAATTTGTAAATATCAAATTTTCAAATACAGAATTTGTGAAATCCTAAATTATTAGTACAGGAATATAAGAATATGAAAATTACAAAATTTCAAACGTAAGAATATACAAATTTGTAAATATCAAATTTTCAAATACAGAATTTGTGAGATCGCAAATTATTACTACAGGAATATAAGAATATGAAAATTACAAAATTTCAAACGTAAGAATATACAAATTTGTAAATATCAAATTTTCAAATACAGAATTTGTGAGATCGCAAATTATTACTACAGGAATATAAGAATATGAAAATTACAAAATTTCAAACGTAAGAATATACAAATTTGTAAATATCAAATTTTCAAATACAGAATTTGTGAGATCGCAAATTATTACTACAGGAATATAAGAATATGAAAATTACAAAATTTCAAACGTAAGAATATACAAATTTGTAAATATCAAATTTTCAAATACAGAATTTGTGAGATCGCAAATTATTACTACAGGAATATAAGAATATGAAAATTACAAAATTTCAAACGTAAGAATATACAAATTTGTAAATATCAAATTTTCAAATACAGAATTTGTGAGATCGCAAATTATTACTACAGGAATATAAGAATATGAAAATTACAAAATTTCAAACGTAAGAATATACAAATTTGTAAATATCAAATTTTCAAATACAGAATTTGTGAGATCGCAAATTATTACTACAGGAATATAAGAATATGAAAATTACAAAATTTCAAACGTAAGAATATACAAATTTGTAAATATCAAACTTTCAAATACAGAATTTGTGAGATTCCAAAAGTAAGAGTAAAGAAATTAACAAATTTAAAATTCTCAAATCTAAAATTTGGAAAGCTTCAAACACAAGAATGCAGAAATTTAAAAATCTCAAATTTCCAAATTTGGTTCAGTGCCATATAGCGAGACATCACACACGAACCTTCCGTTCCGAAACTAAACTAAATTTCAATCAACCTTCACACAAATATAATAAAAGTGTATCAGATCTACCTAGGTTACCACTTTTTAACGCAAACCAACATCATTTAATTTACAGTAAAATGTACGAAAAAAAAATACATTATAATGCGTTAAAAGATTTAAATTTAGCTTTAGAGATATAATTAAGACCTGCGATGCGTGAAGAAAAGATTGTCAACTGTGACAAGATTCACAAGAAACGAACTAACCGCGTTGAAAAGCTCGGTCGCGGGATTTGTGAAACGCTTAGATCTCTGTACATAGGTATCGTTTATGAAAGCATCGACGAAGAAGACGATTCGCGCATACTAAGCAGAAAATTATGCCATGTTATTGACGCGTAACCGTTCGAGTAAACGCAGGTACCAATGCAGCCTTCTTCGCAGAAACATGCAAGGTCAAAATAATTACATGGCGTTCAGTTGTTACTGAAAAGATGTCTATTAAAGGCTAGAAACTTTCAAATATTTCGTAACAGTGTTTATGCTAAGTTAATTCTATTAATAACGCGGGACATCAATAATCTGATGTCAATTATACAATAGTGGATACTTTAACGCGTTTGTAGCTGTGATGTCTTCTTCTGATAACTTTGAACTGAATTGTTATTATCAGTAGCTGATTGGTGCTATGAAGGCTCCAGAACGTCTGAGTAAGTCATTTTTAGATTGATTATAGCTTTTCTCTAAGTTCTTTAAAAGTTCGTTAGAAAAATAGGAAACAGCTTGTAACATCTTGGTTATTAAAAATTACACGAGTACATAATGGATTAACAAGTAATTGCATCGTGCTTAAGACATTGCTTTTCTGATATCGCCACTCCCATCGCATAAAGCCTGTTCAATTGATCGAACAACGTTCGATTTGATATTAAATGATCCAAGACTAATAACAACCTCGATTCAGAATCAGATTTGAATGTTACTTCAAATTTCCAAAAACGAAAATATGATAAATAAAAATGAAAATTCGTTACTTTTCTAATTTGGTTCCATATGAAATTTTTGTTTCAAAATCTTCGAGTAAATATTTAAGTAAAAATACTCTCGGTAATTATTCCGTATTGCGTTCGCGCGTACAGAGTCACCATTTGACGTAAAATCTCAGAATCTTTAACCTGATAGGTTACACATATGCAAGTTGTGTTTTCTAAGTTTACTTAACTATCAAAAAAGTCACTTTACATCGACTTCGACGGGGACGGAAAATGCAAACTGGTTTGAAAATACATTTTTTGGGTTCTCATAAAAAATTGTCTATTTTTCTACAACCTTCAGGTCCTTTTGTACAGACATCTCAATTGTCATTCTGTGACTAGTTTATTTAAAATATCATTGGACTTATATTATATGAAGAGAACGTGTTATTAAAAATCGATTTTTTTCCACAACCCTCCATCGAGACCTTTGCGTGAACATTTTACCGCGAGACTTGTAATTTTCCCAAAAGTTCGTAGAACTTATCAGTTTAATATACGGATAATTCCCAGCCCTGTCCAGAATGACGTATAGAAACACTGTAAAAATGATTCAGTTAATTATCTAGATACTATCTACACGATACAGTTCTAACAATACGAAATTGCCTAAGGTTATTGACATTCCGCGCAATGAAAATGTCATTGTATCTCGAAACGGCAGGATCCGGCGCAATTGATCCGGCGGCGCGGTACGACGCCATCAAAGGCGGCGCCACCGTCGCGAAAGCTCGTCACGATCGTTAACACGGTCAATCAAACTCTCCTCCACATGAAAAGCAGCTCGACGCAGGCTTCGCTAACGCACACCGATCTCTGTTTGATTGTTGCAGCGAACGGCTCGTACCAGCCTGGGATGGAGCCAAAGCGGCAGAGGACCGCGTACACGAGGCATCAGATCCTCGAACTGGAGAAGGAGTTCCATTACAATAGGTACCTGACGAGACGGCGACGGATCGAGATCGCCCATACCCTGGTGCTGTCCGAACGGCAGATAAAGATCTGGTTCCAGAACCGTCGCATGAAGTGGAAGAAGGACAACAAGCTGCCCAACACGAAGAACGTGCGCCGGAAGAACGCGAACGGACAAGCGGCCCCGGCGTCCAAACCGTCCAAGTCGCAGGCCAGCAGGAGCAAGCTGGCGACCGGAAACAACAACAGCCAGAGGAAGAACAACAACAACTCGCCGTCGAGCGGCATCGAAAGCAGTCTCGACTCGAACGTGGGTCTCGACATGGCCGAGGTGCACGTGGTGAACGCTGCTCTTCCGCACGCGAACGTGGTCCATCCGAGCTTCCAAGGTCACCCGCATCCTCTGGCCCATCTTCAGGCGCAGCTGAGTCATCACCACGTGAGCGGCATAATGGACGGGCCGACGGGAGGGCCGCTGGGTCACATAGGCTCCGGAAGTATCAGTCCACTCGCCCCAGCCACCAGTCCCTCGGGACTGTCCCAAGTCACGGCACCCATTCCGCCACCACCGATAAAGTCCGATTACGGCCTCACGGCGCTGTAACATCCGTCCTGGGAACCAGAGTGTACAGTCGATCGAGGATACGTAGGCTACAGGGACGCGAGGTTCCCTTCCGCCGATCTGGACGTCGTCGCTTATTGACCAACGCGGTCGATAAGGTCTCGTCGCGACCAAATTCGACCAAACTCTGACGCGTCGCGTCAGCCGACCGGATTGAAACGTTGCTCGATGAATGATCCGTCAGCCGGAAGCAGCAATTCTATCTCCTCCGACGTGGACTGCCGGATAATTATGTTGCTGACGGTGAAGTTCGAGACACAGGAGTAGCTGGAAGTTGATCGTAATTGTCCTAACCGCAATGACCCCGACTAGGATGGAAGTTTCATCCTATGATCCTCCTTTCGAGCCGAGTCATCCTTATGATCTGGTGAAACGATGTCTCGGTTACCTGCTTCCCGTTGCTGATACTTTCTGACTGTAGATGAACTACCGACGCGAAGAGAACCATAGCGTCAGCGAGTGAAAACGAGGATAGACCTCGAAGAGAACATGAACAGTGTGTAAGGGTGTGATTTACTGTTTGTAACTTTGTGAACAGCGACGATTGTGACTAGAAGAACTATTGTTCGGTGAAACACTGCTGAATGGTACGTTGTAAAACTTTCTTCAAAATCTTGCCTATCTGCGGAATTTCATTTCTTTCTACGATTACACCGAGTCATTTTTCTTAATTCGAGACTCTTGCGAAGCCGTAATGTAGATTATTTTCTGCGGAAATTGTATACTGTTCAGCGAATAAGAAAATGATACAGTGATGACTGATAACGTTGACCGAACATAATTGTCGACGTTGAAGTGTAATAATTGACGTTCACGGAGTATAATTCTTAACTTGTAAACATGGCTGTCTTAGTAATAGATTTACCACTTTTTAAGCTTCTATTAGTTCTATTCCGAAAATCAATTCGCAAAAAATCATTTACTTTATGGCTCCGCGAGGTCCTCAAGTAAATTAACTATGCGACCAAAATCTCATTTGAAAGAATCGAAAGTAGTCCCTTACAGTGTTCTAAGTGTAACCGCGACTTTTCGTTCGTCGAAAGCTGTGATCCGATAATCAGCATCTGTAATCGAAACGAAGGAATCGTTTCGTGACACGTTAAACTGTATATATAGTTGTACACGTGTATGTATATAGTCGTGTAAAGAAAGTCTTATTTGCTATGTGATTAAAGTGCGTCGTATTTCGTATGTTATCACGTAAGTGTGCGGTCTTAGCGTCGTTAAGTATTCGATAAAGACTATCGCGAAATTTATCGGGAAGCGTTCTCGAAATTCTCAAATAACAACGAGGTACTCGTTGTTCCTTCGTAAAGGTAAATATTCGTTGTAAAGGATATGTACAGTACGGTGACGCTCGCGTTCCGTCGGTGAAACGCGGGAAAATGGACGACGAGGTGAACCGTAATGGCGAACGTTTTGCAGTAACTTTGATGAGGTTTTCAAGAAAGAGAACTCGTGAAACTTGTTTCGTTTGGTTTTTAGTTGAGAGTGGTCTTGAACGAAGTAGATAGTTCAAGCTTAATTTAACACTTAAATTTATTAAAAATTTTTCTGTAGAATTTGACTCACTGAAGAAACGAAAATGCATTAGTTATGTTTCAAATTTTTATTAAGAGCTTTGTGTCTTGAAAATTTTTATAAAAACACTTTTTAAACAGAAAGAAATTGGTACGGTTTGCTAATTATATTTTTAATAAAATTTATAGTTGATCAAGTTACAGTCAAGCTACACTCAGACACAATGTCTGAAACTCTTGCAGCAAAGCTCCATCTTCTTACATTGTGAAACGAAATTTTGCGAGTTCTTCAAATTTTGCAAAAAGAAATAAAAGCAGTGAAACCATTTGATAGAAATATTCTTTCTAACAAGTTTTTGTAGAATAATCTTGGTAGTAGAATCTTCCTGCGATGGTCAGACTTCTAAGTCAATTTTGAAGCAACCAGACAATTTTAAAATTTAGCAAGAATTTAATAGAAGTTCTCAAAATGTTCTTTCCAGAATATCTTCACCTCTGAATTATGGTCCCAAGCAGAGTAAAATCTTTATTATCTGAGGCGCAGAATTTTTCTGAAACTTACTAAATATTTTGCGAAGAAGTTGCAACAGAGGGTTGCAAATGCATGACGTTCGCTGATCACGTTGTAAATAATACTGCGAGATGTCTATTTTTTTTGAGAAAGTATAAACGAACGACCAATAACGAGTTATAATAGATTAGTACATCTGGAAACCGGAAACTGTACTATAAAGACGAGTAGCCAATCAAACGATTAAATGCACAGAGTCGCTGTGACGATATACCAAAACAATGTTTTATCAGACTAAATATAGGAACTGTAGAGATACGTAAGAAACGTTAAGCGCGACGAACAGTTATAGATGGTGACAAAATGGTGGAGAAGAAACGCGATCTAGTGTAATTAGTGAATTTAAGAAAGTGCACGAGTTACGAGAACATTCTATTAAGTGTGACATTATATTCCTTGATATTCTTTATCGATAATTGTATATAGCCTGTACGATAAGAACGTATTTGGGCACACTACGATGCTTATGTTTATATTGATCATAGAGATCGATCAAATACAATCGTGAAGTAAATAAATCAATAAATAAATGTTTCGTAATTTACAATAACGCCGTGTTTCCTGAACATCCCCTTTTTCTTAGTATTACTTTGTACTTAGAAATATTTTCTAAGTAATTTAAGATTAGTTTTTATAACAATTTGGTACTTGTCTGGGTTTAGTAGACCAATTTTCATGGTGCACATATTTTTAAACAATTACTTTGATAGATTGTCACTGTCACGTTTGACGTTTTGCAGATAAACCTCACATTCTAATGGCGCTAAAAAGCCGGAAATAATTAGTATGGACAGTACGTTTGAAGTGGAGCAACATTACAAATAATATTTGTAAAAATAAGAACCAATAATGAACCTTAAGAAGGTTTAATATTTTTAACAACAAACTTAAAGGACCTCATATAATAATATTTAAAGGACCTTAACAATAATTAAAGAACCTTAATAATAAAGTTAAACACAATATAATGTTGCATCAGGAGATTTTAACTTGGTCGTTTATAAACAAACCGTATCACTTGTCACGTCTATTTTTCACGTGTTTTTTGTCCTCTTTATTATCACGGTAAAAATGAAAAATGAATATTTCAGTTATTACGGATTCATTATCTAGCGTATTTTTATCGGTTTTTTCGCGCGATACATCATTCGCGCAGGAAACAAACGATAACCAGCGGAGTCGAGGTAAACTTGTTAGTTGACAGCGTTGACAGTATCTCATCCATATTACCTGTGCAAAGTTGTGTGCATATATTTACCGGTTATACAGTCCGCATAATAAATCATTTCACTTCGAAACGGAATACCTATTGCTGGAAAATATACGAAAGGAATGAAACGAGATAATGCCAACTATGAATCATCCCGATAAAACTAACCGACACGCAACAGTAGTCGCCATATTAGTTCCTAACAACCTAATCTCGTTGGAAAAATTTAATTTCCTATTCAAATTTCTTGGGTTATGAAACAAAGGTCATTTTAAGCCCACAAGTTTCTTCACGTGAACACTTCATAGAATTATAGTTAAGATTTACAAATTCAAACAATTACAACAAACATTAGTTTTAAAAAACACATTCTTTGGTACAAAATTATCATTCAGTGAACTTGAATGAATAATTGTCTCCAATTAAATGTCTTCAAATAATTGTTTTCAAAAAAGATGAAGAATTTCAAACGTAGTAACAATTCTAATAAGTTTAGTTTAAATACTAATATTACTTATATAATGATATTTAAATAACAACCTATCTGGACTTATATAACTTTATCACAGTAGTGAACGAGTTGACCTTTTGACTGCGAGTTACAATACGCCCTCACGTGTCTATCTATACGAGGGTGCACGTACACCCGCACGTGTCTATCAATATATTCGAAAAGCGTACAGATACGACTATAAATTTTACACACCGTTTCACTAAACTGATGTAACAGAATTTATCGTATCATGTAACCTAACCACACACAGCTAAATATCAACGTTTCAATATCTTACAACCTCACGTATACATGTGAATGTATATAACGATATGCAACTATCATAACATGACAAATATCGTGGTATATATTGACAATTTCTATTGAAAGTGTTCCATGAAAGGGTTAATTCTCCTAGAGCAATTCGATTTCGTACCAAAGAGAGATACCCATCCGTGGTATCGAGTGAACTTGATCCGGGAGCAAGCTGATATCGATTAATCGAGCCCTCCCCTCCAACCAGCGTAACAATATTCATGTAATACGTATCGTGTAACTATAGTTGGCGTATAGTTAACAAGCCCAGAGCGGATGCACTATCGCAGCATTAATGCGAGAAGGGTTCTCCGGGCAGCTGGCATTCATTGGCCGCCTACGCGGGTTCGCGATCGCGTATATATTCGTGTGTGCGCGCCCATGCGTGCAGTGTTGCCGCGTCGGCGCATGCGCGAGCACGTGCGTGATTGCCGCAGCCTGGGGATATGCCGCAGCAGCCTCGAAAAGAAGGGTGGCACCCGGAAAGCGAATGAGGGGCCGTCTGCACGACACTGCCTCCGCCCATGCAACCAAACAGCCCAACATAATCTGCTACCAGCCGGGATCGAAACTCGGACATGCCTCGTGCCTTATTTTCGAGTTTTATGCTGCATTCTGCGCGCTTTTGGATCTGCGATTTTTGGATTGGTGTTCGATACTATTTGGTTTCAGTGCAATGTACTCGATTGCACGTGACTTCTACTTCTTTAACTTTCTTCCATCGTGATCTAAGTGGTGATCACTACTACAGTAACATATTCCACTAACATATTCCACATATTACACTAATTATATTCGGTTCTCAAATTCGTATGATGTAGGCGCCTCAACCAATCTTTGTCCGCACTCTTTTCGGGTCTGAAAAACAATTATGAGAATTTACGATTTCGCTGCGATTTAAATAAAGCCTTCGAAAGAACTTTATGGCACTTAAAAATTTTTATTTTTATAGTACATTATAATAATACTTACTCGTTTACTTCAAATTATTTTACTAAAAAAGAGAGAAATATTGTGATCACAGTGTCATAGAATTTCTTATTGTATTATGATTTCATCATGAAACAAGCAAAAAGATATTTTATTAAAAAAAGAGAAACAAGGATTTCACGAAATGACAGAGGAAAAAGAAATAGAGCGAATGACACGATTAACATCAAGGTCCTCGACGGACAAGGAGGAAGGAACAGCACAAGAGCAGCTAATTGCAAGATCTATACACTGTTCCGCTATCCATGGACGGCACCGACCGACCTGCGTTGTCTTCCGGTGCTGAATACCCTTACAAGCCACTCTCGGATATAGATTGTGTTAGACATGAATTAAGGTAAATAGTCTGGGCGGCTGGCTACCCTCAAGCAAAACAATCTTAATAGAACTAAATACGAAATGCCGTGCTTCACGTGGTCAATCTTATCTATTATATCTTGCATCTCAAATATTAGAAACTATACTTTTCTTATAAGCGTGTCACGTTTTTAATATTCTCTGACTACTAAATTGCAAATTGCATTAAATTCTGATTATAAAATTGCGGAACCTAATTTTTCAGTATATTTTTAATATTATAATTTTACTCATATTGAAATTGGATGTATTCGAGTTTAAATACTTGAGTATTCAAGCTGTGTATACTTGAAAATTCTACGTGTTAACATATTGAAAAATCTAAATATATTAATTAGATAATTCAATGTGAATTATAATATAGAATTATATTTTATATAGAAAGGGGAAAAGGTGTCCTAAACACAGGAGTTATATTTTGAAATTTGCGAGGTAGTTCATGCAAGAACATGAACCAGTTATTCTAGTATAAGATTATCAGAAAAATGGAAGCTGGAAAAATTGTACCATACTTTACCACCAACACGATGACCTATGTATATCAATTTGAACCATGTTGAATTCGTTCATGCATGTGTTTAAGAATCCTTCAGTACTTTCGACTTACATAAAGAATTAATCCTGCAAGAGTGAAAAAGATATCAAAAATTGCATTCTTCAGTGAGAACAGACCTTACGGTTTATACGAAGTATTCCTACGATTTATATGCACGTGTGCACAAGAATGAAAAGTATTTTCCGCAGGAAGAATAATCACTCCACCTAAAGTTTGAAGAGAATTATCATAATCATCGTGGACATGTACAGACAGTAACCAGAGAGAAATATTCCTCGAATGCAAAATACCATCCGGAACACGTCTATCAGATCTACCTGAGGATTCGTGACCCTATTTCGAGTGGACGGTGTTCCACCTACACATCACGTTCCACATTCGTTGCACCAAGACAAATGATCGGTACGCTTGCCCGGTCATTTCGCTCGCATCCGCCTGGGCAATCGCGCCCAATCTACAAGCTGTACGGTGCACCGTGTACAGTGGGTGGTCAGTGAATTGCTCGTTTGGCAAACTTCGGCGACGAACAACGTTGAAATTCGCGCCTCTTCCTTCTCCAACTCCCCACCGTGCCTCTCTTTCGCCAAGATTTAACGGGTTTCTGACCACACACTACGCGTTGCGCAACGAACCGCGATCTGCC